ACAACCTCTTGTGTCTGACTTTTCTCACTGAATGTAATATTGTTAAGGTGCATCCATGTTGTAGCATGTATTAGTGCTTCATTCCTCTTTATGGCCAAATAATATTCCACAGTGTGGGTGGACCACATTTCCTTTATCTAGTCATCCATTGATGACATTTGCCTTGTTTCCACCTTTTGACAGTTGTGAATAATGCTGTCATAATGACACATTTGTGACAAGCTTTTGTTTCCAAAATACCTGTTCCAACTCTTTGGGGAAGATACAAATTAAATAACCCATATTCAGGTAGAATTTGTGAATAAGCTCACGCTCATGGAGCAAATTAGAAGGAAAAGGTAAATAAAAGAACTCCTGGTGTTTTGGCAGATCTCCTGTGCCCTCCATGGGTGTCATGAGCCAGAAGCAGTAGTGCAGCTCTGCCTCCAACTGGTGAGAGCCTCAGCAATAGAGCCTATCACACGCGCGCACACACACACACACACACACGTACACACGCACACACGTACACACGCACACATGTACACAATGGAACTCCAGGCAGCACCAAGGCTAGCACGCTGAGAGGACACAGCACAGCATGCGAGTGAAAAGCTGGATGAAGCACACGACTTACAGCACAGTGCCATTTACACAAATGGTTTGCGGAGCCCCCTGAAGGCTGGAGATATCCTATGTCTTGATCCTGATCGTGGTTACATGGTTGTACACATGTGCAAAAATTCATTGAGCCAAACACTTAAAATTTATGCATATACAGACCCAAGTTCTAGCACCAGCAAGCCTTGCCTCGTCCCGCAACTTCCTCATCCCCCGCTGTTAACTGCCCCTCCTCAGCTCCCAGGGCTCCCTGTCCACTTTAAATATGCCATAATTATATGTAACAAAGACCGGCAAGCCTTTTTCCTTAAAGGACCAGGTAGTAAATATTTTTAGCTTTTCAGGCCAGATGATCTCTGTTGCAATGACTCACACTGTCAGCGGCAGCGTGAAATTAACGATACATAATACTAGGCAAATGGGCATGGCTGTGTTCCAATAAAACTTAATTTTCAAACACAGGTGGGGGGCCATAGTCTGCAGGCTCTGAAGTCTCTGATGTATACCACGTTGAATTGCTTCATCTGTCTCCTCTATCAAGTGTCACTACCTTAAAGGCAAGGACAAGTTTTTCCATTCCTGTGTCTTCACCATCTGGTTCAATGCCTGACAAAATAAATGATTGTCCATGAACAAATCAATGAGTGATTTATAGTTTACTCCGCTCAAACCTAAATGAGAAGAGAGAGAAAAGCAAAGTTGAGTAATATAAGGGTGCAGCCCCACACCACCCACAAAACACCTTCCAAGCATTCCCCGTCCTAGCTATTGCATTCCACTCACATTTACTGAGTACAGGGCTTTCTTTTGGGGTAATAAAAACATTCTGGAACTAGGTAGAAGTTACGGTTGCACAACACTGTAAATGCACTAAATGGCACTGAATTGTTCATTTTTAAATGACTAATTTTATGTTTTGTAAACTTAGCTGCAATTTTTTAAAGCAAATATAAAATGATACACCAATTTGAAAACGTGCTGGAAAAGAAAAACAAAGGCTCCCTCTGGCGGCCGTGTGGAGAATAGACTTCTATGAGGCAGGAGCAGAATGGATGTACTTGAGCTGCTGTCATTTTACTTTCGTTAGTCCTATTACTTCTAAAATATTTCTTGAAGGTCACAAAATATCTGGTCTCAGAGCTACTGGGACTGGTTAGCTTCGTTAGTCTTGGGAAATCCCCAGAAATAAAGGTCTGCCACCGCGCAAGCTTGTGAAGTTCGCAATTTGATCATCTCAAACCAATGCAACCCTAATGTTGGGATCTTGTAGCAGTGGTACCGCGGAGCACTGGCTGTGTGCCAAGCATCTGGCTGTTCATCTGTATGCTTTATAATAAACCAGGAATAGTAACCGGGAAGCCCTTTTCCCTGAGTTAAGTGAGCAATCCAGCAAATTATTGAACCTGGAGAGGGGATATGGGGTCTGACTTGAACTCTGGGTATTTAGCATCAAAATTGAATTGAATCGGAAATTGTGTGTGTGTGTGTGTGTGTGTGTGTGTGTGTGTGTGTTTGTTGTTGTTGTTGTTGTTATTTTGGTGTGAAAAAACACACACATTTGATGTCAAAAGTGTTGAGTAAAAACATTTCAGTAGTGACCTAATTTAGAAATAGGGTCTTTGTAGTAACACCAAGTTAAAATAAGTTCATGGGGGCGGGGGAAGAGGGGGGAGAGAGAGAAGGGCACTCACCCAATATGACTGGTAATGTTATAAGACATTTCAGAGAGAGACAGATGGAAGGTAGCCATGTGAAGGCGGAGGTAGAGATTGAAATGATGCTGCCACAGCCAAAGAATGCCTAGGGCCACTAGAAGCTGGAAGAGGCAAGAAAGAATCCTCTCTTAGAGCCTTCAGATCCCACAACACGGGCATGTGCCCTGACAGGGAATCAAACCTGGACCTCATGATTCCCAGGTGTGGCTAGTGTTGTATTTCAACCACTGGGCTGAAACCTGATCTATCTAATCAAACTGCACACCTATGTCCTCATTTGCATAGTTACTAACCAATCAGAGCTGCTCCATAACAACCAATAAGAGTGCACTAAGCTGACTCCTCCCCCTACAGAGGAGTGCTATTTGGACCAATCAGACTCTGCAAATTTGGATTCCTCATTAGCAGGGGTAAGGGAGGGGATTTTGTCTATGAAAAGCAGCATCCCCTTTATCTCCAGAACACTTTGGTTTCTAGTACAGGCTGTGTTTGCCCAGTTTGCCAACTGTTTACCGTAATAAAGTTCTCCTTTTACCACACCCCAGACTGGGGACTCCTGATGGCATTAGATTTGTAGCAGTGACCTTTTGTTTACAACATATATCCACTGTGTTTATTCAAAAAATTCAATGACCCAGTCCTTATCCTCGGGGGCTTACAGCCTCTAACCATCCCAGAATCCACTCCCCTTATTCCTTTTAGTAATACCGGTACAATCCCTGAATTGTATCTGGACACATTGTCCCCCTAGCTAGAAACTACATTTCCCAGGAGCCCTGGCAGCCAGATGTGACCATGTGACTGTGCTTGAGCCAATGGGATTTAAGCAAACATAAGGGCAATTTGGAAGTCATCTCCTTAAACACAAATCTACTTGTCCTAGCCTTCCTCCTCCCCCTTTCTTCCTGCTGAAACTTGGATAGGGAAGCAACCAAGTTCCTACCTTGTATCTGAGGACAAACCATGGAAGAGCAACAGGATGGAAGGAGTCTGGGTTCCTTGGTGACCTAAAGGAGCAAAGAAAGAGAACTGATATCCAACCATGACCTTCTTTATACCATGTTTAATTTTAACCAAAGACTTGGGTCCATACAAAGTCTGTGGCATGAATGAAATGGAATGACACACTATGAAAGCTTGTTGCCCTGGCCGGTGTGGCTCAGTTGATTGGGTATTGTCCTGTGCACCAAAAAGTTACTAGTTCAATTCCAGGTCAGGGCACAGGCCCTGGTTGTGGCTCAATCCCCAGTAGGGGGCGTGCAGGAGGCAGCTGATGGATGTTGTGCTCTCACATCAATGTTTCTCTCTTCTCCCTTCCTCTCTCTAAAAATCAATAAACTTTTTTTTTTTAATCTTGTGAGCATTCCATAAAACCCAAAGCCAAGCAACTGGTTCCTGTAAAACTATGATGCGCAGGAAGGTAGCTGCACAAACAGAAACTCATGTAAATAGAAAAAGGCACCCACTCTAATATACAAGTTAGAAGGTGCCCAGTTTGCAAACTGTGGAAAACACAGCCCCATTCCCATGCCCTTAGCCAGGTGCAACCTGCACAGTCAGTCATACCTAAAGGTGTATGTCTAAATGCAGAAACAAAAGTGGAGGGAGGAGTCGTGTATCTAAATGAATTTCATATAAAGTGAACCGTTTTCAGGGCGTTGAGGAAATTTTCTATTTAAAGAAATCCTGCTGTGAACTCCTTTCTAGAGAGGAATTAGTCACCACTGAGTCATCTGTGCAAAATTCAGATTCGTAAATTCGTCTAAGATCTGAACGGAGACATCAGATAAATTAAGATACCGTTATAAATGAGAGAGGAATCAATGGCAAAAGTGGAGAGAAGCCCTAGCGGGTTTGGCTCAGTGGATAGAGCATCGGCCTGCAGACTGAAGGGTCCCGGGTTCGATTCCAGTCAAGGGCACATGCCTGGGTTGGGGGCACGGTCCCCAGTGGGGGGTGTGCGGGAGGCAATCGATCAATGATTCTCTCTCATCGTTGATGTTTCTGTCGTTGATGTTTCTGTCTCTCCCTCTCCCTTCCTCTCTGAAATCAATAAAAAACATTTTTTTAAAAAGTGGAAAGAAAAGCACGACGTGAGGATGTGAACCTGATTGACAACGGGAGACCTTAAAGCCAGTGGTTCTCAACCTTGGCTGCGCATTAGAATCACCTGGGAATCTTTTTAAAATCCTAATTTCTGGGCCTCATCCTCCGGAAATTCTGTTTCTTTGTTACTAATGTTGTGGCCCCACCCGATAACAAAGAAACAATTTCCGGAGGATGGGGCCCAGAAATCAGGATTTTAAAAAGATTCCCAGGTGGTTCTCATGTGCAGCCAAGGTTGAGAACCACTGCCTTAAAGCCGGAGTCTGCCTGCGGTGGGGGTATAACACGTGCGCCTGGGGACAGGAAATCGGCTCCGTCCAGTCGGAAAGCGAAGGAACCAAAGGACAGTAAAGAACAACTCCGAAGAAGCTTCCGAAGAGCTTCAGGAAGCAAAAGGCGATTAACTAACAATGGAAGTCTACTCAGCCGCGTTCTCATCCCGCCCCGCCCCGCCCCGGATGCCCTGACAACCAGGTGGCGTCGGGGCGGGGCCTCGCGCGGGCGGCCAGCCCCCCGCGGGTCCCTGGGCGCGCGCGCATGCGCCTCGGCCGGCGTCCCGGAGCCGAAGGGGGGACCTGCCTCGGGTACTCGAGCCTCTCGGCTGCTCCCGGTCGCCCAGCGGGGGAGCCGGGTCGGAGGGGCCGGGACGGCCGAGAAGCTCGTCTGCGCCCCCCCCTTGGTGCTACGGGGCTTTGGAGAAGACCCCCGATCTCCAGCCCCTTCCCTCAAAGCTGTGAGCCGTGGTCCGGTTCCGGGGCAGCCCATCCTCGTGTTCCCCATTTGTAGAATGGGGGTCCCCAGCCCCTACGTCAGAGACAGGAAAATATTCAGAAACCTTCGAACAGTGTGGACTCCGGTGAGCGCTTGGGAGCCTTGGTGGTGGGAGTGGTCGGACGAGAGGGCCCCGGAGAGGAAGGGATGGTTATGATTAAACTCCCTGTTTTACAGGGAAGGACACGAAGGCCCGGAAACATGAAGTGGCCGCCCAAGGGGCTCAGCTAGTGCCCGGCAGGACGAGAAGGGCAAGGTGCCCACCTGGGGTAACCCGCACTGCAGGATCTGGGCTGGGGTGCGCTTTTGTGCCTTGTCAGGAGTGAGCGGGTTGTGTTTAAATTTGGGGAGTCGAGGAGGGGAATTAAGTTTTAAATGAATTGCCCAGACGGCGGGGCTCAGTGGTTGAGTGTCACCTCGGAACTAGGAGGTCAGGGCACACGCTGGGGTTTCCGGGCTGGATCCCCGTGTGGGGCGTGCAGAAGCAGCCCATCAATGATTCTCTCTCATCATTGATGTTTCTATCTCTCTCTCCCTCTCCCTTCCTCTCTGAAATCCATGAAAATACATTTTTAAACATTTTTAAGTGAATGAATGTTGGGAGTGGAGAGAAGTGAGGACAAGAAGTAGCACCATCAGGACTTACAGTTATACCTCGGAGATATTGTGGACTTGGTTCCTTACTATTGCAATAAAGTGAGTCACACGAATTTTTTGGTTTCCCTGTGCATATGTTTTATGTTTACATGATACTGTGGTTTATTAAGTGTGCAATAGCATTATTTCTAAAAAATGTACATACCTTAGTTTAAAAATACTTTATTGCTTACCTGGCGGGTGTGGCTCAGTGTTTAGAGCATTGGCCCGCACACTGAAGGGTCTTGGGTTCAATGTCCAGTCAAGAACATGTACCTGGGCCGAAACCGGTTTGGCTCAGTGGATAGAGCGTCGGCCTGCGGACTGAAAGGTCCCAGGTTCGATTCCGGTCAAGGGCATGTACCTGGGTTGCGGGCACAACCCCAGTAGGAGATGTGCAGGTTTCTCTCTCATCGATGTTTCTAACTCTCTATCTCTCTCCCTTCCTCTCTGTAAAAAATCAATAAAATATATTTAAAAAAAAAAAAAAAAAAAGAACATGTACCTGGGTTACAGGTTTGATGGGGAGGCAACCTATCCATATGTCTCTTTCATCTCTCTCTCTCTCTCTCTCTCTCTCTCTCTCTCTCTCTCTCTTTCCCTCCCGCCTCCCCAGCCTTTACACTCTCTAAAAGTCCATGAAGCCCCAGCTGATTTGGCTCAGTGGACAGAGTGTCAGCCTGTGGACCTAAGGGTCCCAGGTTCGATTCCCAGTCAAGGGCACGTACCTCGGTTGCAGGTTCGATCCCCCACCCCTGTCCGGGTGCGTGCAGGAGGCAACCAGTGGATGTGTCTCTCTCACATCAAAGTTTCTCTCTGTGTGTCCCTCCCCTTCCCTTCCATTCTCTCTAAGAATCAGTGGGAAAATATCCTTGGGTGAGGAGTAACAAAAAAATAAAAAATAATTAAAAAATAAAAGTCAATGGAAAATATATCCTCAGGTGAGGATTTTTAAAAAAATTCTTTATTGCTAAAAAATGTTAACCATCATCTCAGCCTTCAGTGAGTCCTTTTTGCTGGTGGAGGGTGTTTTCTCAATATTGATTGCCGACTGATCGCAAATCAACATAATAATAATGAAAACGTTTGAAATGAAATATTGCAAGAATTACCAAAATGGGATTAGATGAAGTGAGCAAATGCTATTGGAAAATAGCACTAATAGACTTGCTTGATGCTGGTTGGCCACAAACCTTCAATTTGTAATAAAATTAAAAAAAAGTAAGCATTGCCCTGGCTGGTTTGCCCTGTGGTTAGAGTGTTGGCCTTCAGACGGAAGGGTCGCTGGATGGATTCCCAGTCAAGGGCACATATGTCAGTTGCAGGTTTCCCAGCCCTGGTGGGGATGTGTGTGGGAGGCAGCCAGTCAATGTGTTTTTCTCACATGGATGTTTCTCTCTCCCCTCCTCTCCCCTCTCCCTTCCACTCTCTAGAAATCAACAGGAAAAATATCCACGGGTCATTATTTAAAAACAACAACACACAACTCAGTATCTGGAAAGCACCAGAAAGTGAAGGGAAATGAATGTATGCCTGCTTAAATAGGATGGGAAAGATTTTGGATTTAGGAGCCCAAAGAAGTTTTGAATTCTTTTTTGAAACCATTGCTTTGCTGGCAAATTCTTTATCCACGTGGCATTTCCCCCATGGTCCAGACAGCTCAGTAGCTTCCCATCTGAGCTCCCATTTTGGTTTCTGTCTCTGGCACAGGGTGTCTCAGCCTGGGCATTCCTGGCGTGAGGGGCCAGATCATTCTTTGTGGCGTGAAGCTGTCCTGTGCATGGTAAGCTCTGTATGTTTAGCAGCACTTCCCATGCCCCCTCCACTCCACCTCCAATGGTCACCACTAAAATTGTTTCCAGACATTGCCAGATGGCCCCAGTGGACAACCACTGACCTAGGGTCAAAAATGAAGACATAGATAAATCTGCCCTGGCTGGTGTGTTCAGTGGTTAGAGCATCGGCCCACCAACCAAAGGGTTTCCGGTTCAATTCCCTGTCAAGGGCACGTACCTGGTTGCAGGTTCAATCCCACGCCCTGGTTGGGGTGCATGTGGGAGGCAACCAATCAATGTGTCTCTCAAATTTATATGTCTTGCCCTGGCTGGTTTGGCTCAGTCACTCGCAGCGGTTCTCAACCTGTGGGTCGCGACCATCGGAAAACACATATAGCGTATCAGATATTTACATTATGATTCATAACAGTAGCAAAATTACAGTTATGAAGTAGCAACGAAAATAATTTTATGGTTGGGGGTCACCACAACATGAGGAACTGTATTAAAGGGTCATGGCATTCGGAAGGTTGAGAACCACTAACTCAGTGGATAGAGTGTCAGCCTGTGGATTGAAGGGTCCCAGGTTCGATTCTGGTCAAGGGCACATGCCCAGGTTACAGGCTCGATCCCCAGTGTGGGGCGTGCAGGAGGCGGCCAGTCAATGATTCTCTCCCATCATTGATGTTTCTTTCTCTCCCCCTCTCCCTTCTTCCCTGAAATCAATAAAAATATATTTTCCAAAAAAAAATTATGTTTCTTCTTCTCCCTCCCACTCTCTAAACAAAAATCAATGGGAAAAATATCCTTGGGTGAGGATTAACAACAACAACAACAAAAAGATAAAACTGTTAGTTTTCACTAAATAGATTTTGAATTCTTTAACCATTTTCCTGCGCCAGAAAGTACATACTATATTAATTATCTTACTGTGGAGATTCTTAAAATAGGCAGATTTTGTGGAAACTGGTTGACCCAGTTGGATTATCTGAAACACAATGGATAATGGACAGTTCAACTGAGTGAAACAGGCATTGGCCCAGAATCAGGAAATCTGGGTTCTGTCCCTAGTTCTGCCATTACGAGTTCTGTGGCCTGGTCACTTACGCGCTCTAGACCAGCGGTTCTCAACCTGTGGGTCGCGACTCCTTTGGTGGTCGAACGGCCCTTTCACAGGGGTCGCCTAAGACCATCCTGCATATCAGATATTTACATGACGATTCATAACAGTAGCAACATTACAGTTATGAAGTAGCAACGAAAATAATTTTATGGTTGGGGGTCACCACAACATGAGGAACTGTATTTAAAGGGCCAGAAGGTTGAGAACCACTGCTCTAGACTCATTTACTCCTCTGTCAAATGAGGATATTTTATTTCTAAGAACCTGGAAATGCTCAGTTTCTGACAAGATACCTTCAGACCTGTTCCCTCACCGCCACCAAAGTTATTTAAGCGGCCCGGGCCCTTTCCCAGTTGCTCCTCCACTTCACTTCCAAATGTATTTTGTTATATCTCTTAGCCTCCCGGCCTGTTCCCTTTAACACATATTTCAGAATCAGGCTGTGGTTACCATTCAAACAAACTCATTATTATTCCTGATGCTAACAAGTAAATTATGGTGGTGTGTAACCCAGCTGTGACAAGGCCCTGTTTGTGGAAATGATGGTGTTTAAGCACACGACACCCTGGTGTTGGCATGAGGGAAAATAAAATAAAAATTTTAAGTAGTTTCTTAAAATGCTTCATGATGTGGTGCTTAAATTCTAGGAATTAAATTATAAATTATTCTGACCCAGCTCATATTCATACAAAAAAGTCATAGATATCCCTTTAATGAATTCTCTTTAGCACCCACCTGCCTTCTCATGTGTTCTGCACTTGTCAGATTGGGGTCATGGGTCAGAAAGTCCTGTGTGCTATCAGGAATTTGGATACTGCTCATAAAAAAATAGGCTGATAACCTGGCCAGGTGGCTCTGTTGGTTGGAGTGTCATCCTATACACCAAAAGGTTTTGGGTTCAATTCCTAGTCAGGGATGTGTGGGAGGCTACCAATAATGTTTCTCTCTCTCTCTCTCTCTCTCTCTCTCTCTCTCTCAAATCAATAAAAACATATCTTTGAGTAAGGGTTAAAAAAAAGAAGGCTGCCCAGGATGATCCAACCTGAACCCACTATAATGTAATTACAGAAGAGCAAAGACTGCCTGTTTTGTTTACTGCTGCATCCCTAGTGTTTAGAACAATGCTAGACACCTAATAGCACTAAGCAAGTAGGTGAGGATGGATGGATGGAGGGATGGAGGGATGGATGGATGGATGGAGGGAGGGAGGGAGGGAGGGATGGATGGATGGATGGATGGATGGATGAATGAGGGGTCCCTGGCAAATTTGGACAAGAAATAAAATCAGTCTAAATATTTTGCTTGAGATTTAATATTATATTTCAAAGCTCTAGAAAGTATTGGTGTATTAGACATTTTCATTTCTTTCTCCCCTTCTCATTTCGCACCTGATTCTGTCCGTTCCCTTCACCAGTTTTCTCATCTGACGAGGCATCTTCTCTTGGTCCGGGTCCGCTCTGAGTGAGCAGCACTTTTCTGGAGGGGTTTCCTCATGACAATCAAAGGAATGTATTACACAGGGCCCGTGTGGGGTGGGAGTGGGACAGTTCTGTGGCCCCTAAATCTGATTCCTGTGTGTCCCTCTCCCACCGTGTTGCCTTGTGGTCTTATTCCAGAAGCTTGTTCCTATCCTTGTGATTTGCTGTTTGGAAAATCACCTGAATGCAGGTGAGTCAACACAGGTGGACACGATGAAGAAGCGTCATTTGGAACTGGAACTTCACACGTGAACGTGCTGAGGCTTTTTGCTGCTGGAGGGTCCGGGTTCTGTTTCTTAGCATCTCCGTGTTTTTACTAGAATCCATCCCAGAAGCGATGAAAGAAGAGCCTTTCTCTTAAAAACTGTCGTAGTACTCACCTATTTTGGACAACACCCTCCTTTAGGAGAACTATTAATAGTAAAAATCAGTATTTGGTCCGAGGGTGGGTGGTAAGGGTAGGGGGTTCCTCTTCATTCCTTTTATACAGGGTGTCCCCAAAAAATGTATACACACTTTGAATGCTCATAAAGTCAGTGTTTATTAACATACAGTTCATTTTCAAAAATTTAAAAGAATCGACAGAAATGAATAATTTTCTTGTCCATGCCTGTTTTCAAACTCGTGATCATTCTGGTCCAGGCACTGCTGATAACTCGAAGCAATGGAATCACAAACATCAAGAATCATTTTGTTCA